CCCCCAAACTGGAAGAGTGGCTTCAACAGATACCGGGAAAAACAATGGACATCTCAGTCCAGAAATCATAAAATGCCATCAGAACATATTTAGAATTGCTCTTCAGAAGTAATGGGGCTCAGGATTAGCAAACTGATGGTTAGGATGTACTCTGTTTGATATATATATATATATATATATATATATATATATATATATATATATAGTAGACAACCATTCACTGTTGTATTCAAGAAACATTAAAAATTAAAAAGTTCAAACAGAGTACATCCTAACCATCAGTTTGCTAATCCTGAGCCCCATTACTTCTGAAGAGCAATTCTAAATATGTTCTGATGGCATTTTATGATGCTATGGTTTTTCCGTGGTGAGTGCTTTCTCAGGCTCTTGCTCCCTTTGTTTGATTGGCTGTTGGCGGCATGGGGCTCAAACTGGGGGTTTTCAGCACTCAGGGGTATTGTTAGTGAGGTGGTGTCGGAGGTGGTGGATGATATGTGTGACTCAAGGTCAGTTGAACATGTGTGTGTTTGCAATGTCAAACTAGCTTCTACATCTCCAGGGAAGTAAACTTATGACCTGGACTTATAGAAAAGCAGGAGACGTCTGGCCAAGAATCATAAAGGGTTTAAAATAGGATGCACTGGTTCTATAGAGATGTGTATGTGGAATATGTGGAAGTGACTCTTATTATGGCTGAGTAAATGTTGTTGGTCGTGCTGTGAAGGGTCCAGGGCAACAGTGCAACAGATACAGATCACATACTCATACACACATTCTTCAACCAGCTTTCCCAGACATCAAGCACAGCCGTTCTGAGAAAAAGTTGGTTGTGATTGTTTACATGACTGAGGTCCAAGTTATTTTTAGGATATTTGTGCTGGAATTGGCTCAGTGTTATTTAGAAGTGAAAGTTCTGATTTGAAAGAAAATATACAACATTAAAAAGAATTTGACTTTTGGGACTCGGGGCGACACTAGAGCTGATTGTGAGAATGGAATCGAAGGCACATAACTTCCAAAGATGAAGCCAATTTTGTGAAAGTGTCAAACACCATTGCAAATTGCGTTTTAACCAAATTTGAAATTATTCCTTGATTTAAGTACATTGCATACAGATAAACATCACTATGACTTACTACAGGATGCAGGAGGACAGAAAAACATACAGTATATGGATATAAGACTTGAGAAGAGTCTGTCTGTATGTATTAGTTACTTCTTTACTGTAACAAAGGTTTAAGAATTGAATGCTATTTATTTATCTGTGTTCGCTCTTTTTTTTCCCAATTTATCTTCTCTTTTGTTACAAATTGGGATCAGCACAGCATCTGAGTCACCAGTAACTACATCAGTAGCAATTATTTTCCAGATTCTATGCCACTTCCTTGTTGATAAACCATGTCTTCCTCCTGTCAGTGTGTTTGATAGTATCCAGGATGAGGACTTTGTCAGATCTAATCTTCTGACAAATCATGATGAAGTCCAAAATATACTTCAAAATTTACTCCTAGACAACATAGCTCCAGTGTTTATGTATTTCATCTGGAGATTTTGCAGATCATACTGAAAGACCAAAACAGCTATGGAAAACACAAAACTCTATTTAGCTTAGTATACATGCACATAGTAAGCCTGTTCTTTGATGTGTTCTATTCTAGTGGGGACAGTGATAAAGAGGTTATCAGACAGGGGCAGTAACGCAGGGCTCAGACATGTGGTCACCTTGTGGCACTCATATCTGAGAGTCCTGCTGATAAAGTCACAGCAGCAGCATACAGATCTATCAGGCTTGATCAGGACTGGACCTCCTCCACAGATGGTCCCTGTGTGGCCCGCACAGACAAACCTGTGATGAGCTTGGAGACATGTGGAGAATGTGGTTAAAATGTGTTGGGAAATACAAGAAAACTATATACAACCAATCAATCTCTAAAAGAGAGGGCACAGGTCACCCTGGATTTTATCTACCGCGTTTCAAAAGACTGTTTTGTGTTTTAATTTTTAATTACTAATTACTTAAGACACAAAGCATTGATCAACTGCATTTGTCTAAAAAAAATAGAAGAAAAGTCTGTTTTTAAAATGTTTGCTTATCATCCTTCTTCATTTTGGGGCTCTGACTAAACTCCCATAGTTTATCCTGAGTTCCTGGGGTTTGACACATTCTGACAGAACTGAGGGACACATCTGTGCAACACAATAATGTATTAGTCCTACAGAGCCTTTTTCCAGCTACTCAAAGTCACTTTACAATTTTGGGCATTATTCATTCACTCTATGCTTATAATGGCAAGATACTTCTGTATCCGCAGCAGTCTCATATACAAGTACTAAGCAGGTCTGTTTCTGCTTAGCTTTGGCGATCAGATCTGACATTCTCAACATGGTATGGCCAACCACAGTTAGGTTATAATTTTTCACACACTACTGTTGATGGGAAAAGCCAAGTTATCCACAGAATCACTTAAGACTCAATGCCCAAATTCAATGGCAGTTAAGTCTAGTATTTTTTGTAAACCACTGCATATTAGCTAAAGACTAGTTCCCATGTGTCAGTGAACCATCTGCACTGGGCACACATGTTAGCTTCAGAAGAGACTGCCCTGGAGACCCAGCTTTTCCACTGGCGTAGCTCTTTCCCACTGTCTCCACATTCTTTAGCATACAACTCAGAGGAAAGCTTTTATTTTTTGTGATGTTCTGACCTATAGTTACATTTCCTGTATTTTCAGGCCCAAACATCCAGGAAGTGTCCATTCAGTGGGCAATAACACACTACCAAGGCCTCTGGGTGTTTTCAGGCAGTTATAAATGGCATGTCCCAGTATCCGACATCAGCAGCAGCTCAGGGTAAAGTCAACAGCTCAGGATCATTCATTAGTGTGTTCTGGCGGCTCTGACATTGGCAACATGAAGTCACTGATACCAAGGGAACTCTGAGCGGGAAGGCAGAGCTGTCAGGCACTAACTTATGTATGCTCCGCCTGATCCTGTCTTCAGTCATTTTTTATCAACATCTGTAGGGAACACTTTGTCAGGAATTATATACCCAGGGTCCCTTCAAAAATACCAATAAGAAATGTGAATTGTGGGGAAATATTTAATTTGATCTATCTATCTATCTAATTAGAATATCATAATATTGCATAATATAACATTCTAATTAGAGACCAAACTTCAGGCCTTTGAGCTGGAGGTCAGTTTTCTACGGTGTTTTTTTCTGTGTATATTTTTCTAATCATGGTGTTAAAGTGTTAAAGTCTCTAGATGTTTCATTTTTATTTATTTATTTATTTTGGGCAAGTAAACATTTTACATTCTTTTACAATGGAACATATATCATCCATATTGATATCAGTGCAATCGTGCCAACAGAAGAAACAACACAACGACAACAACAACAAAAATTGCCCAAAAAAGTTTGAGAAGAAGAAAAACTTTAGTTAATCCCACCCCCATTTTTTGATGTCACACAATGAGCTTTCTTTTGCATTCTTCATACGTTTTACATTAAACCATATGAACTATTTACATGTGAGAACGATGAGTAACTGTTACAGCTAACCTAACTATCATCATATTGCAATAATAAAAATGATACTGACAATGCTCAGGAAATTAAAGATATCAGTTAGCTAAACATTAATCCGTAAAATAAGTTCAGTTACAGTAACACATTTGGATGCCCTTTGTGTCAATGGATGTTCATTACATTTTATTACATCTACAGTTTATGCATGACTCATTTTGGACTCTGATTTGACCAGAGGGCTGTAGGGGACATGCTTTAAACAAACATGAACTTTCTGTGTTTCTCATGTTTATCCTATCTGCCCCGGGCTGTTGCAGTCCTACAGTAAATTGTATGACGTGTGCTGCATTAAGTGGCTGGTGAGGATGTCATGGGAATGTGGGGCCAGAGTTTGGGACACAATGCCGACGCTGATGGAGCAGAGGCTAACCATACACTGTCTATGGGACTAACGGAGGTCTGCTGTGGGACGGATTAGCTCCACAGAAGAAGAGGTGTTATCTGCTCAGACACAGGCCTCAGCAGTTTGCACCAAAACCACACACCACATACAACGCTGCCAAAGAGCTTCTAATGTACATTTTCAAAAGGTTGTCTGCCCATGGTAAAGTCCCATTTAAATTAGTCTTAATGGGGTACCCAAATAGATTCTAATATCCTTATTATTTAGAACATTATTTAGAATATCTCATCATCATGGGTTGCTGTATTTCTAATGATTTGCATTGTCCAATAATATAACTACAGTGAGTTTACTGCAATTTATTTACCCGTTTGTTAAATGAATAGATCCTCAAAGGAAATCACTGGACAATATTTTGTGCTTTACTGTGACAGTTGATCAGACAGGCATTCTTTTGTCACAATTACAATGATTATTTTGTGTCAAATTAATATCTGATTTACATATAGGCCAGACAAGCATAAGCACCATTCAACAAGACAACATGTTTAAGTTTAAAGCGCAATGTGATTGACAGCTTATTAAAGCTTGGACCACCAGTTCAGGGGACATAATACAACATCATTGAAAAATAAATGAGTCACATCTGAGTTTCCAGCCAGGGGCAGGGCAAGTTTGCCAAGGAGAGGCAGAGAGACACAGATTTCGGCTGCCAACTAAACACCAACTGTGTGAATTAGTTTTAGCAATATGGTGAGGTAAATGGCAGAATGACGCCCTGAGTGCAAAATATGTTTAAACAAGTAATGGGGTTATTTGCCTGTGACAAATAGGGTACATGTTAGGCTTCGTGTTCATGTTTGGACAGGTTTTCCTTTCCCATGACAAGAGGGTACTAGCTCCAAAATACAAGAATATCGCTGTTAGTAGCCTACTTTATTGTGCACTTAATCGTCCCCTTCGCTGTAATTGATGGTCCAACCTATTTCTTACCTCGGCCACGCCCATCGTCTGGGAGGAGAGCTCTGGGACTGGAGCGAGAGAGCGCCAGTGCGCAACACACTCAACCTGAGCTAAGGGCGAGAGAAAAGAGAGGACTGTTATTTTGACCATCACATAGAATAGACTTTTGATGTGCGTTTTCCTTTGGATATCCCACTTTTGAATGCGTCACAGTAACAGTGAATTAGCATAAAGGCGACTCCTTGGATGTTTAGATGAGGAAAAATAGCCTATTCCAAGGTAAGTTTGTCAATTGTGTTCAGCATATTCCACTAAGTTTTACACGGCAGAACAAAAGACAATCTAGCTACAATATAAACTGTAAAGTAGCGTACGACGACTTATTTTAGGATAGCCTAACAAAAGGTGGAGAACACGGTGTTGTAACAGCATTTTATGCAGATCAGTAGCCTACTTTATCAGTTGTAGACAAGAGAAAAGTCAGGATTAAAAGCCTAGGACACTGTTCGATATCTTATTTGAATATATACTAACAATGCTGAAAAGTTTAGAGTAAACCTTTTGATGTTGATTTAGAGGAGTGCTTTTTACACATGGGTTTTTACTTAATTATTTACTATCTATAGAGCTATTAGTCCTACTCATCACTTTATTATAACAGTAGCCTATGTCCTGTTTTTGTGTTTCAAGCCTCATTGCGACATGCTGTGTGCTCACACGATTTTAAGTCTAGTAGTGAAGTTACTTTTCACCTTTGCACGTCTAATCTTTATAGTGGTGAACATGAGTATTCATTAATGGTACGTTCACACTTGTCTCCACAGTGTTGTGGCGCCCTCTGCTGTTTGGCTGAGGTGACCTCTGTGACCATGGGGGCCGAGCTGGAGGAGGGGATGAACCTCGATATTGTTAAATACTACAACCACTCGGGAAAGTGGGACAGACCTCGTGGGAGTGGGGCATGTAAGACTGCCCTGCTGCTCTTCATCTGTATCCTCATCGTCCTGGAGAATGTTACCGTGCTCCTGGCTCTATGGAGGAACAAACGTTTCCACAGCCGAATGTACTTCCTGATTGGAAACTTGGCCCTGTCTGACCTGCTGGCGGGAGTGGCCTATGTAGTTAACATCTTCACCTCAGGACGTAACACCTTTTTCCTGACGCCAGTGCAGTGGCTGGCCCGGGAGGGGAGTATGTTTGTGGCCCTGAGTGCATCTACCTTCAGCTTGCTGGCCATTGGGATAGAAAGACACATGACCATGGTGAGGCTGCGCCCCTGTGAGACAGCAGGCAGGGGAAGGCTTCTAGGACTGCTTGCAGCCTGTTGGTTAGTTTCAGTTTTGCTGAGTGCACTCCCCAGTCTGGGCTGGAATTGCCTCAATAAGATGTCGTCTTGTTCCACTGTGCTGCCACTCTATGATAAGAGCTATGTGGCGTTCTGCATCAGTGTATTCAGTGCCCTGTTAGTGGCTATAGTCATCTTGTACATCAGGATATACCGCCTGGTGACCTCCAGTGGGCGCCGTGTGAGCAGCAGGCCCTCAGAGCGGTCGTTGGCTCTGCTCCGGACAGTTGTGATAGTGTTGGGAGTGTTTATCATTTGCTGGTCCCCTCTCTTCCTCTTGTTGCTGATGGATGTAGGGTGTAGTCCAGAGAGGTGCCCCGTGCTGTACCAGGTGGACTGGTTCATAGCTCTGGCAGTGCTTAACTCAGCCCTGAATCCACTCATCTACACCCTGTCCAGCCGAGAGATGAGAGCCGCCTTCTTCAGACTGCTCTGCTGTGGTCAGGCCAATCTAGAGCCCAGTGGGACCGCTGTGGTGGGAAACCCCCATCTGAACACTATCATCCCCACAGCTGAGAACAGCAAGAGCAGCCTGGGGCCTGCAGGGGGCACTCTCCCCAGAGGGAAAGGTCCAGGACCAGTGAACTCTGAGAGCAAAGACCCCTGTGCACCAGTACCCCACCCCTCTGGGCCTGCAGATCTTCTGTCTGCTGTTCTGGTGAAGGCAGGAGCTTTGCCACAGCTCAGTAAGTTCTAAAACATGGCTGTTACCATGACAAATGACGTTAAATCAAACTTATTTACGATGAAAATGCAATTAGCGACAGATGAGCAAAGAGAAACAAGTAACTACAGACTTATCGCACAGCTTTAAAGCAAAAACACATCTAAACAGTACCAAGGTTTGTCAGAGTATTGTTCAATACCCCACTCAGTTTTTGTTTTGGAAAATACATTTCGTGTCTGCGATGTTGTAAGACAGTGCATCGGTCTAATCCTTTGTGTACTGTAAAATAGTTATGTGTATGGATCACACCAAAGAGGAGGTAGGTTGTCAATATGATAGTATTTAAATGTAGTGAATCTCTTGTGGGAACTGAGCACAGGCCTGATTCCTTTTGGATGTGTTTAGTTTTATCTTTGTGTGTAGAAGATAAAACTATTTTGTGCACTTTCTGCATGTATATGCATTATCTATCAGTTTATGTGTATTTTACTTTGTGTAGAAAACTATTTATTTTCTGGAGAAACACAACAACAGTGTTTTTCTTTGTGTAGAAAACCATCATGGTACTAATCTGTGTTATTGATTAAAATGCACTGCAAGTTCAATAGACATGTGGCTGTTGGGTTGCAGTTGGCTACTATACCATTCATGCCACATAACGATAAAGCTAAATTTAATTAGGTTTACCACTAAAAGATTGTAGTATTGTGTCTGTCCTCACGGCGGCACCAGAGCGCTATATCTGTGCCTCCAGTAGATTTAATTTTGTTCACTTGAGTCCTCTGTGGATCGGATCGATCAGTGAACGGGACCAATACAACACTTTTCATTATTGAACCACTCACACACAGTCAACCACTATAATCACGTGTGTTTCATGCATGTTTTGAGGTGCCTTATCTGTACAGCAAATAAATACATTTTTTGGGATTTGTGTCCTGTTCCTTGTATTTAATTTTAAAATTTCAATTTTATCATCTACTTGATGCTAGGTCAAATAATATAATGTTCATAATTAAATACTTTGACCTACTACTACATTTAATTAGACAGAATAGAAAGAAAGGGCATTTAAAGGATATCCATTATCCACAAACAAGACACTTTTATGAATATAGTGTGTGTTGGTGGTGATCAGAGGTGCAGATGGCGCAGATTGGCAGCCTTGCTTCTGTCAGTCTACCCCAGGGCAGCTGTGGCTACAAAAGTAGCTTACCATTACAGAGTATGAAGTGAATGAATAATGTAATGTAAAGCTCTCTGGGTGTCTTGAAAAGGGCTTTGAATCCAAGGCATTATTTTCAGCACATAAGGTTGTGGAAGTAAAAAGTGTGACATGACAATTTTCATACCAATCAAATAATCTTTTATTCATTCAAAAGGTTACAGTGAAAATGAAATTTTCTCTCAGACAGAGTTTGTGTGTCTTTGGTCTCTAGTAACAGACAGGAGCATTTCAAAGTTTTACCTCATACAGTCCTCCTGAGAGACAGTGGGAGCAGTGCCACTTCAGCCAAACATTTCCAGTGTAAAGGTCAGGGCCTGCTTCCTGTCACTAACATCTGAGCACTTTCCTCTCTAAATTCGACTGAGCTGCTGATGGCTTCATGACATCTGGAACATTGGGAAATACCAAAATATAGAAAAGTGAGAATATGGAGAGTATTTCCTTGGAGAAAATACACCTCCTAAATGTTTAATTAAAAGATGTACCCTTATTGTTTTAAAAAGATACTGCAGTCACAACTGAACCTGGCAACCCAGTTTCAATGCTGAAATCCATCTCTCCTTTGGGGTGCCATGCATTGAAAGTGGCAATCCAAATGAGACTCTTTTTGCCTTGACAACCAAAACACCAACTTATAACATAATCAATTTGGTCATTATGTACAATGTTTTTGAAGTGATAAATCAGCATTACCATGTTTATCAGTAAAAGCTATATCATACATACAACGTACAAACCTACAAATACATCCAGCATATTATATTTGATGTGATTTTGCCCCTTATTACTGTCTTTAATATCTTTTTTACCCAATATATTTTTCATTTATTATAACAATAAGACACACAGAGCGTAAACCACAAAATGTGCATTTAACTAGGTCATACACCTTACTAAATCATGTTAACCAAATAACCATTACAAGTCCTCTTTGAGGGCTTAGACATGCTGGATTTGTGTCATTCTCTGTGCATAATAGACATTTGCATAAGACTGATGTGAACATGTGAAGAATCACGAGTATCAGCGCCTCCCCTGTCACTGAAATCCCTGCTTTACTCCGCTGTAAGAGAGTGTTTATCTCACCGTCCCGTTGTGGTTGGCTTGTTTAGCCGATAGACATGAATGTGTGTTTTTGGAGACAGAGACAGAACAAAACCTCCATCTGGTATGAAGTCTGAATGAGTCAATGTGAAACACTTCTGTCATCATAGAGAAGCATGGGGTGGTAACAAGGGGGCAACATTGGAACCCTAAGCGCAACCAGAATATACTCAAAGTCTGTACTCAAGTGAAATTATTCCTGCTTCAAAACAATAATTAAGGTATGATGTTGTACTTCAACTGACCATTTAAATTTAACTGCAACTAGACCTTTGCTACTCTTACTGCTACTGATCCACTGTTTCTGATTTCAAAATAATTAAAATTTAACCAAAAACTCAATAAAAAAATAACTAAGTTCTTAAAAAGCACTGTCCATCTTCACCATGTCAAAGTAACAGATTAAAACAGTTTCAAGTGATTTTATTATTATGCCTTTATAAATCGACCGTTGCCTAAAAATACAGCTCCTCCAAAGATAAGTTTAAAAAAAATTTGGGGGGATTTTTGGGTCACCACAGCAACAAACTGTATACACTGCATCTTGCTCCTCACTTGCACTGTCAGATCTGACACATTCAGTACAGGGTAATTACCTATGGAACAAAAGAGGGCCAGTTGGACGCTAGAGATAAGCTTGGCTGGATCAGGGCTTTATTCAGGGGAGCAGTCGAATGAGGTGCTGGGCTCAGGGTCAAAGATCACCCTGGAGGAGGACCACTGGAGGAGTTGGATGGGATTCAATTTGTTGGTCAGTCCTTCGCTGCATCTCCCCTGAACATCCCGCTGTCAGTAATTCTCAAATTCAATACAGGCCATCAGGATTCTATTTGAAGTTACAATGGGAATAAAACAAGAATGTTTTTTAATCAAATAAAATTACTTATTTATAGCATATCACATCATTCTAGGACATCATAAGGACAAAAGCCAGCTGGTCACAGAACAATTAACTTTCATTTGTATTTACTATAGATCATACAACGAAGTAGTAGAGGACTGCCAACTACTATGTCACAATCAGCATATATCCTTCCTTTTAGCATTATGACAATGTATTAAAAATGTGTTTTTTATGTAAGGCAAATTCAAGCATAAACTGGGTGTCACTTCAGTTGTATTGAAATGTTTGAATGCTTTAAAATATCAGTATCAATTTAAAAGAAGCAAAAATGTTCAGGCAAATGCATAAAAAAGGATCTATTCAACAATGAAATAGGGCAACTTTCTTCATGCTATGATTGGTCCTACCACTAAGTAAATATTACTGGTTCCCCTCCCTAATCTCCCTGGACACCAGCTGCTCCATCTCCAAACTCTCTCTGATTGCAGCATGGAGCACGGGGGGGCCCTGACGGCACACCTGCTCATTCTGACCTCTCATCTATCTCCTCTATGTGGCTGCCCAGCACAACTGCAAGGATTAGCATGTCTGGGGCAAAGTTATCCAAGGGAGGAGTGTGGTGTCCTGCCTCTCACTTGTGGTGTTGATCGAGTGTACACAGCTGGTTGGGTTTTTGCCTTCAGGTTTTGGACTGTGAAATGGACCAATCAGAGAAGAGCGTGAAGGCTGCAAATGTGCAATCTGAGGACAAGGCAACATGTGTTTTGACTCATGGAATATATAATCGGTGAGGTGGTTCAAAGTGGACTGTTTTTCAGACAGATATAGAAATACGGAAAAACTGACACTGCTATTAAAAGCATTAGTCTTTTACAGATTGGTCTATCTTTATCATTGTGTTGAAAGGATCTATAATGGTTCTGCTAGGACAAAAATATTGTTGTAGTTACAATTTATTTCACTGGATTTCTCTCCTTGTTGTCTGAGCTTCTGTGGTGCATTTCACAACCACAAATAAAATAGGGATGGTTGTCAAGAAGGGCATCTGGCATAAAAACTATGCCAAATTAATATGCAAATGATGTAGTCAAGGATGCACTAAAAGGAGTGAATACAAAGAACAAGATTTAACACCTGAATGTGGCCTGAAAAAGATTATGCTGATTGTTTCCATGGCAACAATGTTGGATTATGATTTTACCAAAACAGAAAATCTATCTTTACCAATCCAATGATCTGTACCTATCTGTAATCAATGAGGACAGGCAACGGGACCAACAATGGCAATGTTTACACGCACACCAGAAATCTGATCATTTTTTATCAGATTCATCAGATTACTGAAATGCAACTATACTATAGACCCTACATTTGTGTCTGATGTGGGCAATTGGATTTCTTTCTGATACAAAAAGGGCAAACTAATGTGGCAAAGACAAAGAGAAAATTATTTTACAACAGTTAAACCTACTTCAATCCATTATTTAAGTGGACCATGCCTACAGGTGTTTGAAGATGACATTCTTTTGTGCATGGAAACACACAGCAATAATCAGACCTTGTTATTGGGTCATCTGATTTTTGCTGACCATGTAAACACGCCTAGTTTAAGTACACAGCATTGCCTCTTTAAAGCTTGTTTATTATGAGTAAGTGCCTTTACATTGAGCACAGTACTTCAGTGATGAGTGGAGTCCCTTGTGTGTGTACATGTTCTGTGGTTCCCCGGGTGCGGTGGTCACAGGTGCTCATTCCTCACAGTGGATCTGAGCGTTACCAGCTGCCGTCACAGTCGAATCGTTCACACCCTCTCGTGACGCTGCATGCATAAATCTATTCTGAGATGACAGCTGCACATGTATGGATACTTGTAGAACATTTTAAAGAAAAACAGGCACATGAACCTGCTGACTATTATATCTTACACAAATACTTCTCCCAGGCCTGTATGATTAATTGAATTTTAGTTGAGATCCAGAATTTGTCAGGTCTAATTGTCCATAATATTCTTGGGTCTTTTTACTCAAGAGGTCCACACAGCCAACCCTCTGTCAGTAGAGCAGACTGTCAGTATATGGACTGAAGCAGAATCCAAATGATGGAGGAGAAAAGAAATTTATATTTTAATTGTTTTAAATGCTAATTAAATAATAATAATTAAATAATTAAATGTCTGTAATGTTTATGTTCAGGAAATTAACATTGAAAGACATTTTTACTGTTTTTGTAATAAATGAAATAAAAAATAATTATCAGTCAATATGACAAAAAAGTATAGTGACATACAGTGACTATATATATTTAAAAACATATATTTAAAAACACACACCCACAAAAAATACCATAATGAATAAAAATAAGTCCATTACCCTCTGAGCTGTCCCTAACAGACTACCAGAAACACCAGCAAAAACAGACATAGTGATAAAACCTAAAATTCTTCTACCAAAGTCATAAAATAATTATTTTAGAAATAAAAGTACTGCACAGCAGGAAACTGGTAACTACAACTAAATCAGACACTTCCCACTGCGCGACGTGCGGATTATATTTGTTTGATTTTTACATGCAGCGCTTCCACTGTCATTATTATTCACACGACTCCCCGGGGAAGCATGTTAGAGAGATAGGACTAAACCAGCCCTCTTTCTGGCATGTCACCATGCACACACTTGTTTGGTATAGGATCTTGTTGAGTGTTCATCCACCCGCCCCCACCCGTCGCCTCTTCATATTCCCACTTTTCCAAACCCTTTTTCCTGAATAAAGAGTGATCCCGGCTGTCTCCTCTCTGTCAGCCGGGTAATCAGCCTCAGCTATTTCATTTGGCTCTGTAATGAAAGCAATCCCAGTGCTTTTCACTGTAGCACAGCCCAAATAATGAGGGAGCCCCCCCTCACTTCCTCACACCTCTCTCCCTCCCCTCCCTGCCTGGGCTGCCGTTATTGGAAGATGGGGATGTGCGAGTGTTTGCATATGTGAGACGCGCAATTTTGCCAAATCCTTTGTGTAGATTTTTCTCCTTTTGTGTCTGAAGAACGGTCTGTTGTATAAATGTAATTATTCATGATAATAAGATTTTTAAGATGATTTTCATTTTAATCTAATCAAAAGGTCAAATGAAAGGCATCGACAAGGGATAAATCATAATCTGCATTTTTTTGGTGACAATAATAATTTATCAGGCAACATACATGACATAAAAACAAATAACACTTTTCTTTTCAGTAATACTTTAAAAGGTTGCAAGCGTTCCAACATCACTGGAACTCACTCCAGATGGTAAGTATGTACCTCCAACACAACTGCCCACTTCCATCTACTCACATGACTGGCTGGCTAAGTACAAACTGGAAAATGGCCAGTAATCAAAGTAATAAGGTATCATCTCTCCAGAGAAAAGTTGAAAAATAAATGAAGTTTACATTTCTAGATGGTCTCACTGGCAAAACCAAATTTAACAATTACAATGGAAACCAAAAATATCAACACTGATATCTGTAAAACAAAATTCCCAGAGCAAGGCAGAAAATTACATTGATAGATGGACTGAATATTACCAAGGTAAGTACAGCGACTGTAGCAGAGACCCATTCATTACCTTTGCAGATGGTAAAATTTTGCTGGGATTCAAAATGTAAGCATTTGATGGTTATTCTGACATAATAATCTTTTATCTGCCATAACCCATTTTTAGATGAGGAAATACCAATCAAGCATAACAATTACAACAACTGACAAGTTCTGTGAGAAAAAAAAGGCTGAAAATTGCATTCAACAAGTTTGTTCATGTTTAACACTGGTTCTGAAAAGGATATGTCAAACACAGTGTATTTCAGTTAGTTGTAGATCAGCAGACTATGAACCAGCAATCATCACATCACAAAACATCTGCACTAAAGGTTAGTTGTGATAATGCTTTACCTCGCTTTATGTCTGGTACAGCGCTCAGAGAGTTAGAGTCCACAGTTTTATTTATGAGAAATGATTGGTTCAAATGGGAATTTCAGGTGTTCAAAATAATGAAAAACAGTTCTAGAAAAAAGATCCATAGTATTGCATTTCACGTGAATCAATTTGCTATGTTGATGTCAGAAGCTTGGCACAAGTCCTCAAAGGCAGTGCACCACTCTGTCTCAAAGGAGGCAGTGGCACACATTTAACATTCAGCTGTTTGCATGTCCAGTGTTGGAGAACTCACAAGATTCAGAGAGTCTGCACCAGCACTGGGAACAGCAGGGACAAGTGCTCCGCTCCACGGATCGGGAGTTTGTGTGTGGTGTAAAAATGGATGACCTCTGGGATGGTGTCAAACGGGGGGCTGTTCTGTCCCAGCACATACTTCCCATCTTTGCATCGGGTGAACTTCATGTGCATAAAGCCCTGGCAGCTCCTATGAAACAGGAAAATTTATATGTCATAAAATGTAGAGCACGTAAAACTGCACTGTGGCTATCTTTCAAAATGGCTCTGTGGAAATGAGTCTTGATTGACGAGAGCTCTTTTCTCCTGCACTTATACCCACATCTCCATATAAGATTTAATACATCACAAATTAGACATGATGATGGATGCTTGTTATAATAGTGCAGGAGGGGAAGACAAGAGGAACAAGTGATGCGCTGAGCTGTGAAAATGGTCTAGCAATGAAATGCACATAAGATATCCACAGTGGGCAGATGGACTTTCCTATTAAGAGGCAGCCAACCAGTCTGTGTCTAAATATAGAACCAAAGGGAAGGACAGGGGGTAAACTGGTCACCACTCTCATTGTTACTGTAAACAAAACAAAACTTTAAAGGGAACTAAAACCAAAAATTATCAGAGAGCGGGAGGCAACAGAGATCCAAACAGGAGCCGGCGTCAGATCATCCCACCAGACTCTGGGGTTGACAGCGCTCTTTGATCCAGCTCTGTTTGTTTGGGAACTGCACATCTCCGGATACATTACAAACTCCAGCAGGGCTTTGTCTTGTCATAAATATTCATTCTGGTTTAATTTTGGATTGCATTCCCTGTACAGTGCTGACTCACAATGTAATAACAAGCACTTATCCAATATGCAACCTAACGGGTGCTTCAAAAGGGCAAAAAGGTGAAATCTTTTAGGAGTTACAGCATTATGGTGGTGTCAGCATGTGTAGAAAGTAATCAAGAAAAGTACTACATAATATTAGGTAATGCAATATCTCATAACATTTCTAGTGGGCATGCCATTTGGATGACTACATGGAGATAGAAAATTCAAAGCTATATATTGAAACATTCTCTACAGATATAAATCCACACTACTATTGAACATTTCAGGCAAACAAATAATACAGTCATAGAGACAAGGATGCAAGTTTTCTAGGTTTTTAATGCAAGCAAACCATGTATAATTAAATAAATACTTTTTAAGCAAAAATTTTTGGGCATAAAGTGAGATGGTGCTACTAACTAATAGCTAAAAATAAGGCATAACTAGTCCAACTACTTTTGTCTCCTGAGGGCAAGACCACTCCCCCTTAGCTACTGAGAGACATAAAAACATGTTCGTGTCCAAAGATGCTTAACAATGATGTGATGTGTGATGTACAGTACATGCCAAGTATCAAGAATGGAGGCATCTTGAATATTACGAATTACAATTTCACAGTTGAAGTTTCTGTCGAGGGCACTGACAACTCAGTGAAGGATAATTTGCCACATGAGCATTATATGTTGATACAATGTGTCCTCCAACCTTCACTGTTACTTAAAATGGAACTGGTGCCAACAGAGACCTTGCCGCTTGGGCATGGCGTGCTACATGTCAGACTCACTGTGCCCATGTAAATGAGTAATGCATGAGCTTGTTTATATGTCAGCACAACACACTGGTACCCCCCCACCGACCCCACCTCTCCCTCATCTCCTGCTTGTGTGGCCCACAGAAGGTAATTCATATTCATTAGTGATTATGGAAAGGATGATGTGCGCGCTGAAGTGTGCTCTACCTGCCTGATTACCACTTAGAAGGCCCGTGGGGAGCCATGACAGAAGAGCCAAAGAGAAGGGGCAAAGGGTGGAGAGAGGAATGATGGAAAGAGTGGTGTGGGGCCTGGACAATGGATTGGAGGAGTAATTATATTGGAGAGATTTGACCAGATAAGCAGTACTGTGCCCTGCAAATGAGTATAGGGAGATGAATCAGGGCGACAGTGATCTAAAGCGAGTGAGATGGCGATGGCAGATGGAGAGGAGTGTGTTACGAGACCAGGAGCTCAGGTGGCTTCATGTACTTCAGTCGCACAAAAATTAAAAGTGTTGCAATTAAAATGTGAAGAAAAATCTATAAGGCTACACTACTACACTACTACACTAATACTATACTAAATAAATTATATAATATTATATAGAATAATAAACTGAATATAACAGAATAATTATATTTGATTGTTTCTTACCGTAAGGAAAGGGAGTAGTCAGTGTGGTTGGTTTGGCTAGTCCTCACCAAGTAGCTACATTCTTTACACAGTGTTAACAGTGCCTCTGCGTCTGACCGAGACAGTGAACCATGGTACCATCTGAAAAACACCACAACATTTTTACAATATTTTACTTATTTTGTTGGTTTACGGGATAAACAACAGGCCTGGGGATGGAGAGGGGTGATAGGACTCCCCAAGGACAGGGCAGTGTCAGCATAAATGACAGTTGATAAAGCATTAATTAAAAAAGCAATGCAACAAAGGAATGAGCAGGGGTGGAGAAGGCAGAGATCGCTTTCAAAAGAACAGATGATTCAGCTCAAAGATAATGTAAAGAGCCTGTTCAACAGTTAATAGATGAAGTCAAGACTCCAGGGTAGAAAGTAAGGGCTTTTACAACCTCCAACAACCTCCACAAAACTATAACAGAAATCTAACTAAGAGGACTCCTCACATTTCCTGCTACCACTGCCACACTTTTCTCAGCCAGTCACTATTGAAATGTAAAGCTTTGTCTCTGTACTGTCCCTCAGCTGTTCTACACGGACCGTTACCCTCTTCCATCCTATCAGCACCTCAGCAATGGGAGCATCATTCATACATTTCACAGTAGAGTTTCACAATATATCACCATAGAATCAAAACTGCAATTTGAAATGTTACAAGGAACAAATTGACTGCAATAAGTAACATAATTTCTTCTGCAAACAAGAAAATATCATATTATATAAAGTTATCCCTGTATCCACCTCTGCTTAAATGCAATTCATTTAGCAATTCATATATTAACCTTCTGTCAAACGTTAATGTTCCTCCTGGTTATGTTTAAAATGTGAACTTTGAACTGAATCCTGCAATTACATCATGAAGCGCACATCTAATCGCAATCACAATGCTTGTCAGAAAATTTGATATTCTGCCAAAATTGCTCAGCTCCATCTCTCAGCTCCTTCACCACAGAGTGCATTCAATTAATACAACTGGAGGTTTTGGTTGACAGTAATCCTGTTTTTAAAATGAACCTGAAAAAGACCGCAAAGCCATCGACAGCACTTCAGTGATCATCAGGGAATAATGGAGCAGAATAATCCACAGTGTTCCTCAAGTGGAAGTGCCTAATTGTTCTGGTACCATGTCTACTTGGAGTTGTCACAGGCCTAGATTTAATTAGCAAAACAAAGCAGCAGTTTACAAATAAATTACACAAATGATGTCTGAAATTACAAGATTAAAGTAGTGTCTATTATGCTATTGCAACTTAATTATGTTTGACTTGAACCTGTCTGAAGAGCTCGTTTCCAGACCGCTTCCTTGGTAGCATTATGTATATACCACTATGCTTTTCTTTAAATATTAATTCTACAGTTATTGCAGTAAACAAAAAAATACTAAACAATCTGCACAGACCCACTTGAGATCTGGGGAGATTTAAACCAAACACTAATTGGATTTGTAGCCATATATAACGCTATGGCCCAAGGTTGTTTGTTTCAGGACGCTCGAAATAACACTCCACACAAGGTCTGCCTTAATCTAATACTTTGTGACATATAATCATATTCCCCTTCTCGCAGACTGAAATCCTTTGTGAAAATATTCAATCTTCTATCAACATTACTGAAATGTAGTCTGTGGCTGGGGCGTATTTTTATTTAGTTTGTAATATTGCTGATAAATAGAACATGACAATATAGGCACTATCTGATTACCACATGCAAATCAAATCTGAAAATGTGTGCTCTATAGATGAAGAAAAAAACATGTTTGAAAAACCACTTCTCTAAAATGTGATTCTTATTCAAAGGTGTACTATGTAAATTTTATGACAGGGTGGTCCACTGCCTGCTTGCCTCCATAGAGATGTTATTGCCTTGCCTGGAATGTTCCACAATATGGCTTTAAACATTTACTAACTTATAGATGTTGTTCATGGAGATAAATAAATGCCCTAATGCCCTACTGGAAAACATGAGAGAAAGAAATAACATCTCTATGGAGACTAGCAGGTGGCGAACCCTCCAGCAGAAAAGTTACATAGTGCACCTTTAATAAACTGCTACATAAAATGGTATAAGTTACACACAAACTAAACATGATAATAATGAAGGGTCATGAACATTTGATTACATACACTTGCTTCTCCAGGGGTAGTGTAGGGTCCACTCTCTCCCCGACCATTGTGAGTCCTTCCTGGGGCATCCGGAACTTCATGGGGCTGGACCTGAGCCCTGGGGGACGCAGGCGCTCTGTGGGAGGCGAGGAGCGGTCCCATTCAGCCCCCTCAAACTGCACTGTGAGTGAGACAGAAAGTATGACTCATTCTATGTACACAGATCACACCAGATTAAACACCAAAGCCAGGCGTCTGCAAACTTGTCACATCTGGCTGGTGGAAAACAATCACTGCAATTGTGTTATAATATTTCCCTGGGGGCACATTTAGGCAGATATTTATTTCTATTCTTCCGGGAGCTTTGAAACGGTTTTGTTTTTCATTATATTCTACCCACAACAATGTGATGGAGATGGATCTGTAGTTTTATTGACTTTTTTTATCCAGTAGTGTTGTAGGCAACTTCCATTTATGCAGGTTTTGATTACAAAGTGCATTCTTTAATGTCTTCTACCTGTTTTGAATCATGAATGTTTCAAAATTAACTATTAACTATTAATAGTTTTCAAACAGCTTAATTTTACTTTGAGTAAAAGTAAAGAAGTAAATTATTTGTGTTTCTAATTTCCTGTCTGTTCTTTGGAAATACCAGAATCTGTGCATTATTTGATTTGTTTGCTTGTCAGAAATCACATTTTAAATACATTTTACATCCAAATTGTCAGTACTCAAGTAGTTTCTCAAAGTACTTTTGTGCTATTAACTTGCATAATTATTTGTGTCACTACTTTAAACTCCTACTTGATAAATATAATTTTAAAGTAACAATAATTTCCTTATGTAAAAAATTTGGCAGCTGTGTCCTCATGGTTCTCATTTTACAAAGTTGTCTTTTAAAATGTATCAATGTCAATCAGGCTTGATTTTTCACAAGTAACAGATTTTAGAATGCTGTACTGAGTTAAAGTTAAGGTAAGATAAATAAAACTCAGGTACAACTACAAGTCCTTTAAGCTTTCAAAAAAAAAATAGCACTCCAGTTAGATTAGAAATGGTATGGATTTGGTAGAATCCCGCTGCAGACAGGTGTAGCAGATGCAGTTTA